GACCCCCGGAGATGCTCGATCAGCGTTGTACTTTCCTTCCTGCAAGAAGGGTTGGAGTGAAGCAGATAGATAGATAGCCTACGCCCTTTCATGAGATCAGGCTGGATCGGGTGAAAGCACATTTTAAACAGGTAACACTTAGCTATTCACCAACGCAATCGCTTCCTCACTAATGCATTGCATTCAAACAAATGTAATCATACAGTAGGCTATCTGTCAGTATTTGATTTTAAATGAGCATGAATCTGTAAGAAATGTAGAGACCCGTAGATAAATAACTGATGAAAACGTAGTTATTTTCTTCTTTCCAAACAAAATGTTATTATGTTATTATTAATGTTAACAAAATGTAATGATATTTAATTTATAATGCTGATAACCTGTAATAAGCATAGCATGTCATAGGAAAAGTTTGCACACTATCCAAATCCAATAAACAACATTGCAACTATTCTCCTAACGTTGTTTTTTTATTATTTTTTATTTAATATGCCTATGTATTATGATGATGAGACATTTTGTGAGATTTTAAAGCATACTTAAATACTTTATTCGGAATTTCCTTGGGGAGCGAACACGGAGCGGTGTTTCTGATATCAGTGAGCGAGGAGTGGAGCGGGAGCGGTAAATGGTGAACCCGGAGCGGAGCTGGAGCGGAGTGATTACATAACGCTTGGAGCGTGGAGGGGAAATTGTTGCCGCTCCACTCCGCTCACATACTCTGGAGTGAAGGCTGTCTCCCTCCACCCTGAAAGTCTATGTGGCTGCTATTGCTGCATTTCATGAAGCAGTTGAAGGTAAGTCTTGGGGAAGCACAACCTGATCATCAGGTTCTTGAGGGGAGCGAGGAGACTGAATCCTCCTCATCCTCCTCTTGTACCCTCTTGGGACCTCTCAGTGGTTTTAAGTGCCCTGCAGAGGCCTCCCTTCGAGCCTCTGCAATCAGTTGAGATTAAGTTCCTGTCAATGAGACAGCGCTCCTGGTTGCACTGGCCTCCATCAAGAGGGTGGGGGACCTGCATGCATTCTCCGTTGACGAAGCGTGCCTGGAGCTCGGGCCGGCTTACTCTCACGTGATCCTGAGACCCCGGGCTGGATATGTGCCCAAGGTTCCTACCACTCCCTTCCAGGACCAGGTGGTGAACCTGCAAGCGCTGCCCCTGGAGGAGGCAGACCCAGCCTTGGCACTGCTCTGTCCAGTACGTGCCCTCCGGGCTTACGTAGACAGAATGCGGTGTTTCAGGACCTCAGACCAGTAAGGAAGGTCTCTCTCAAAGCAGCGGCTATCTCACTGGATTGTGGACACCATTGCTTTGGCTTACCAGCAGCAAGGTCGACTGTGCCGCCTTGGTGTGACGGCCCACTCCACCCGGAATGTGGCTTCCTCTTGGGCTCTAGCTCTAAGCTGCAGACTGGGCGATACCTTCACATTCGCGAGATTCTATAATCTCTGAGTGAAGCCTGTGTCCTCTCTTGTACTCGCTCAACCGGCCAGTACTGGACCCGCTCAGGTGTCTTTGCTTGCTCGCCATTCCACTCCATGGACTGGATAAGTAAGATTTTTCCTCAGCTGAGCCTTCTGTTGAAGCCCTGAGTCCTCCAGCACTGTTGATGCTGTCGCCAATGTCTGTTGCCTGGGCGTCGGCTAGGTGCCTCTGTGTGGATGGTACCTGCTAGTAACCTCCACATGAGTATTCTCCACTGTAAGCCTCTCTGAGCATGTGTGGTCCCTCTGCAAGCCACCTTGCCACCCCTGGAGTTAAGATTCTAGCCACCTTACGGGTTGGTGACTCCAGTGTTCCTCCATATGAAGTCCCCTTGGGCCATATGTGTATTCTTAAGTCCTCCCTACGGGTAGGCGTACTGTGGCATATTTCTTCTGGGATATGCTCCCACGTGTGCCTTGGTATTCCTGTGCTAAGTAGGATTCCTCGTCCGTGCTAAGTTCACGATAGGGGATGAGACTTTCGCAGGGAACTGGAAGACAGCTGTGAAGGTGGCATGATTACACGGGGGACCCCCATTTTCCACCATCCGACGTAACTCGGAGTGACTATGAAGGGGAACGTCTCGGTTACATATTTAACCCTCGTTCCCTGAGTAGGGAACGGAGACGTTGCGTCTCCCTGCCACTTCCGCTGTACCCCTGGGTAGACACCTGAGTTCAGTCTCGGCTCCTCAGCGAAGACATACTGCGGTGGCGTCCGCTTCCTCCTTTTATACTCACAAGGTGGCGGAGATGAACTTAACCGTCCCTAAACTTAACCGTCACTGGGGTTAATGGCATTTATGACTGGAGATTTGACTGCGTAGACATACACGCGGATACACGCAGATAGTTCAAAATGCGTAGAGATAACACGCCACCTGACTCGAAAGTGGCATGTATGTATACATACGTAACCGAGACGTTTCTGTTCCTCTCAATTCCGATTTCGTTTTTACTCCTACGGTGGCCAATGTAGTCCAAGATTAACATGGCTTCCAGTTCGACCTCGTCCGTGAGTGTTAACTCAAACGTAAACGCAAAAGCCAAAGCTTGAATTAACGGGTTTGTCCCTCTTTGGCTAATGTACTTTCAAGATGGAGGGGTAACATGGCGACCGACATTAGATCCCCTTACCCGTATGTATTTTCAATGGCATATTATACACTCACGAGAATACTTTATTACTTGAACGAAGTAAATGTCCATTAATGAGCACATATATTTTTGAAAGAACTAAGTATTTTTAGCTAAGAATAAACTAAAAGAGTTACACAGTGTAGCTTTAAGTAAATGGTCTGTCATAGAATATCATACTGTAGAATGGACAAACCCGCCTCTCTCTCTCTCTCTCTCTCTCTCTCTCTCTCTCTCTCTCTCTCTCTCTCTCTCTCTCTCTCATATATATATATATATTGTATATATTTATATTATTTCCTTTCACAAGAGAAGTTGTATTCTCCAGTGTGTGAAATAAAAGCAGGGGACCATTGCCTAGTAAGTAATTTGATACAACAGATGGCAGAACAAAACAAACAAAAACAAAAAAACAAGACGGAGGTCAATTTGGACTGTCCCTAGTCTCTCACCTGTATCTGTCTTTTTTCAGAGAGAGAGAGAGAGAGAGAGAGAGAGAGAGAGAGAGAGAGAGAGAGAGAGAGAGAGAGAGAGAGAGAGAGAGAGAGAGAGAGAGAGAGGGCAGCTATTTTTTGGAAATAAATATGTTTCAAATATATTAAAAAAAGAAACGTTATTTTTGAATGTAATAATATTACTGTTTACTGTATATTTGATTAAAGACATGCATAGCATAGGTAAGCATAAAGAGGCTTCTTTCAAAATTATATAAAATATAATCACATATTCATAAACTAAAAGCATAGCCTATGCTTCCTGTATGCGTCATTATTTTTATGTTCAGTTCTCCTCAGCAGCAAGGCGTCTATGCCGTGAGACCTCTGGTTAAACAAATTGGCTGAAAGCGGTGTCAAATAAATATGATCATTGGTTAAAAACTTAAACAAGCCTCCACGTGCTGGCTACGTCATAACGTCAACATGCCCAAACGCCTTCAGTTAATCTGGAATGGACAAAAGACCACGAGCACAGGGGGAACTTCTTTATTAAGAACTGAAATGTGTATTTATTTATTTTTTGAATTCATTATTTGTTTATTTATGTTTTTCTTTTATTTCCAGAAGTCCAGAACTGTTATGTTGCAGACACTGTGCACTTTGCAAGACATGGTTCATCTCAGTGATCAGTTTTTAAACGGACATCACAATGTCTTGATTAAATACAAGTGGATGAATGACGGATAAGCATTTAAATAAATACACAAATAAATAAAAAAAACTGCCAAAATTTATATTTTTAGGACTTATTACGTATTAGAGTGTTGTGTACGTAATGCAATGACATGTAAGCTACGCGTTTCAAGAATGTAATAAACCAAATAAGAAAGCAATAAAAACACTTTTATTTTGTAATGACTTTAATTTGGTTAGTCCTATAAATTTTGTATAGAATATCTTGCCCATGCCCCTAATTTTATTTATTTCTTTTTTCTCTTCTTTCTTTCTTCTTCGTTGTTTTTTTAGTTTTTATGTTCTTTTTTTGTTTTGTTTTTGTACTTGTGTTAAGATGACTCCCTGTACATATTGTTGTCATATTTTGTACAGATATGTTTGCAATTTTGTAACAGATTTCTATAATATGATTGTCATCTTTGTTTGTTTGTAAGTATATAAAAAAGAATGTAATAAACCTTTTTTTTTTTAGGTGAATGAGATCTTTTACCCCATGAAAATGTAATTTCTAAGTAACTTAATACATTTTTTTTCTAAATAATTACGTTTTTACCAATGTTGTCATATAAGAATGTGTCCATAATTGGAACTCAATTAACAATTAGTGTTCGGAAAACTACATTTTAATTACAATTAATATTATCAATTTGTGATTTTCATAAAGACAAAAATACATTTTCAGTTCAATTGAACAATCAACAGTCGTTTGTAATTTAATTAAAAAATGTGAAAATGTGAAAAAAAAGTGTCTTTTGATCATATCGGAAAAGTCTGATCAATAATGAGTGAATGTGATATTAAAATAACTAATATTTTTGTAAATAGAGAATAACACATACAGTGCAGTAACGCTGTTTTCCAGATGGAATCGCTGTGGTCTATGCTAAACAGTGACCTATCTAGATAATATAAATGTTGCCTTTAATATAGAAATATTAGACTATGAAATGGCTGTAAAGAAAAAAATAAAGAAATATTCTACATACATATAGTCTGTATATGCAGGATCATTCTTCATGCCATAAAGAGTTTTATTGAGGATTTAATGAATCTAATAATGGGTGTAGTGTGCGTTTTCACACAGATGATGGCAGTGATGCACCAGTTTAGTTTGCACTGACTCAAAACAAAACGAATGGGCGGGGAATCTGCCACGTGGGTGAGGTTTGTGTGTCTATCCCCTCCCACCACTGCGATTCGTCTCTGCTGAATTGTGTCCCTCCGCCGCTTCCGTCCGCGCTGACAGCAGCAGTAAAGATGGAGAGAGACTCTACGGTCCGCAGAATCAGAGCCCAGCAGAACCAGAACCAGAACCAGGAGAACCAGCAAAACATTCGCGATGAAGCGAACGCAATGAACGGGTTCCGGAGCCGCAAACACAAGCCGGAAGTGAGTGCACAGTTGCTGAGTGAGACTTCCGCCGTGGTTCTGATGCTCGGGTTTGTATGTGTTCTGTGGGTTCTGGTTCTGGTCTCAGTCCAGCAGCTCGTCATCAGCAGAAGCACGGGACAGTTCAACTCCGTCCGGGCCAGGTACAGTACAGGCATGTTTAATATGGTATTGCATGATTACCATAATATTTAATTGTCACTTCAATAATAAATTGATCGAATACTATGGTAATTAAACATAATGTCTTGGTAAAAAATTTGTTATAGTGTTTTTAAATTTTTCATGATTGTTATGATAGACCCCAAAATACTTTATATATAGATTGGTATAATTAACATTTAAAATTGAAATATCTTTTTTCCCCCTGAAAGTATGTATGTGTTTTTATTACTAACTATTCTAAATTAAGTTCTCATTTTAATTGGTATTAATTATAAACAAAATACTGGTAACTTTACAATTATGTTTATTAGTTAACTATAGTTTTGTTATCAATAAACTAAGAAAGAACAATACTTCTACATCATTTATTATCTTAGTTAATATTATTTTCAACATTTACTAATAGTCTACATTATTTAAAATCAAAGGTTATGTGTTACATTAAAATGTGTTACATTAGTGAATGCACTGTGAACTAACATGAACAAACAATGAACAGCTGTATTTATTAAGTAACATTAACAAAGATTAATAAATACTATTACAAATGAATTGTTCACTGTTAGTTCATACCTTACTCAATATTTTGTTTAGCCTACATCTACTGTGGTTACTACTGTTATTGTTACTTTTGTTACTGATACCACTATTGTTTTGATGACAGTTGTGGCTGATACAATTTAGCAGAGTGTTACCATGACAACAGTAACTAGTACCTCTGATTTAGTGGAATAATAATGGCTACCATGGTAAAATAGATTACTTATTATGAGACATATTTACCAACTTTAATGCATTAATAATATCTGTCTGCTGGGTTTTGATAACACAGGAAAGCATGAACAGAATCTAAAAGCATAATACAAAGGTTGATTTAATCATCACTATTATTGTTTTTTGTGTTATGCTAGCTATCTCTGACAACATAAAATAAGTCACATGAAAGTTACAGATCTTTTAAGTAAGCAAGTTGTGATCAATTCATTCATACTTTTAATAAAATTGTATTTAATTTAACGTGCTTGTTTACATGTTTATGTTTTATATATAACACTACAGATATCTCTACTAATGTTTCTTAAAGTTGGCAATAAATTAATTTGTGTTTCTTGTGGTGATTGTTTATTCGTCCTCAAAGCATTGAGTACAAAATAATAAAGTAGAATACTGTAGATTAGAACAGAATAGGATAGAGTAGAATATAATAGAGAACAATATAATATAATAGAAAGAATAGGATACAGTAGAGTAGAATAAATCAGAATACAATAGAATAGAGTAGAAAAGAATATGGCAAAATAGGGTAGTGTAGAATAGTATAGTATAGAATAGAGTGGATAGAATATAATTGAATAGAGTAGAAAGGATGGAATAGAATAGCGTGGAATAGAATAGAGTGGAATAAAATAGAGTAGATATAATAGAGTAGAATGGAAATAATACTATAGAGTTGGGTAAAGTAGAATATAGTAGAGTAGAAAGGATGGCATAGAGTAGAATGGAAAGAATACTATAGACTCAGTTGGGTATAGTAAAGTAGAGTAGAGTAGAATAGTATAGAATAGAGTGGATAGAATATGATAGAATCGAGTAGAAAGGACAGGATGGAATAGAGTGGAATAAAAAGAATGGGATAGAGTAAAATGGAAAGAATATAATAGAATTGGATAGCGTAGAGTAGAGAAGAAAGGGTGGAATATAATAAAATAGAGTGCAACTGAATAGAAATAATTTTATTGGATAGAGTGGAATAAAAAGAATGGGTTAGAGTAGAATGGAAAGAATATTTTAGAATTGGATAGAGTAGAGTAGAGAAGAAAGGATGGAATAGAATAAAATAGAGTGCAACTGAATAGAAATAATTTTATTGGATAGAGTAGAATAGAATAGAGTACAAATAATATGATCATATAGGATAGAGTGGAATAGAATAGAGTAGAAAGAATATCATAGAGTAGAATAGAGTGGAATAGAATAGAGTAGAAAGAATATCATAGAGTACAAAGAATATGATAGTATAGGATAGAGTAGAATATAGGAGAAAGAATATGATAGTATAGGATAGAGTAGAATAGAATAGAGTAGAAAGAATATGATAGAATAGAGTAGAAAGAATATGATAGAATAGAGTAGAAAGAATATGATAGAGTAGAGTAGAATAGAGTAGAAATAAAATGAAAGTATAGGATAGAGTAGAATAGAGGAGAAAGAATATGATAGCATAGGATAGAGTAGAATAGAGGAGAAAGAATATGATAGTATAGGATAGAGTAGAATAGAGTAGAAAGAATATGATAGCATAGGATAGAGTAGAATAGAGTAGAAAGAATATGATAGCATAGGATAGAGTAGAATAGAGGAGAAAGAATATGATAGTATAGGATAGAGTAGAAAGAATATGATAGAGTAGAGTAGAATAGAGTAGAAAGAATATGATAGTATTGGATAGAGTAGAAAGAATATGATAGCATAGGATAGAGTAGAATAGAATAGAGTAGAAAGAATATGATAGAGTAGAGTAGAATAGAGTAGAAATAATATGATAGAGTAGAGTAGAATAGAGTAGAAAGAATATGATAGTTTAGGATAGAGTAGAATAGAATAGAGTAGAAAGAATATGTTAGTGGATGGAGTAGAATAGAATAGAGTAGAAAGAATATGAGTAGAGTAGAATAGAATAGAGTAAACTTTAGTCATTACACACAGGTACATTGAATCTTTATCTGGCTTCTCTGCTGCAATTAAATAAGTGGAAAACTCAAAATCTATAGATAAATAAATAACAATAGAGTAAAAACAGAGCAGCAGAGCTGAACTCATGTGTAAAGTTGTGTCTTATGATGATGTGCATCAGGAAGCATCTGGAGCAGATCACGAGCGTGGGGCCGCGGACAGTGGGGAGTCCAGAGAATGAGATCCTGACGGTGCAGTATCTGCTGGATCAGATAGAGCAGATCCGGGCCGCGAGCAGAACCGGGCCTCACTCCATCACTGTGGAGGTGCAGCGGCCCACCGGCTCCTTCAGCATCGACTTCCTCGGCGGCTTCACCAGCGTCTACGCCCGCGTCACCAACATCGCCGTCAGACTCGAACCCAAGACCGGCGCGCAGCACTTCATGCTCGCCAACTGCCACTTCGACTCTGTGGCCAACAGCCCGGGTACGTCACAGCAACGCTTCACACATCAACATGCTTCTTTCTTACAGGGATAGTTCACCCAAAAATGAAATGAAATTGACCTCATGATTTACTCACCCTCAAGTCATCCTAGGTGTATATGGCTTGCTTCTTTCGGACGAAGACCATCGGAGTTAGAAAATGTCCTGGTTCTTCCAATCTTTATAATGGCAGTAAATGGCTTTCTATTTTGAAGTCCATCATAAAAGTGCATCTTTCCTTTATAAAAGTGCATCTGTCCATCATAAAAGTGCATCTATCCATCATAAAAGTGCATCTGTCCTTTATAAAAGTGCATCAATCTTTTATAAAAGTGTATCTATCCTTTATAAAAGTGCATCTATCCATCATAAAAGTGCATCTATCCTTTATAAAAGTGCATCTATCTTTTATAAAAGTGCATCTATCCATCATAAAAGTGCATATGTCCTTTATAAAAGTGCATCTATCTTTTATAAAAGTGCATCTATCCATCATAAAAGTGCATCTATCCTTTATAAAAGTGCATCTATCCTTTATAAAAGTGCATCTATCCATCATAAAAGTGCATCTGTCCTTTATAAAAGTGCATCTATCTTTTATAAAAGTGCATCTATCCATCATAAAAGTGCATCTATCCTTTATAAAAGTGCATCTATCCATCATAAAAGTGCATCTATCCATCATAAAAGTGCATCTATCCTTTATAAAAGGGCATCTGTCTATCATAAAAGTGCATCTATCCATCATAAAAGTGCATCTATCCTTTATAAAAGTGCATCTGTAAATCATAAAAGTGCATCTATCCTTTATAAAAGGGCATCTGTCTATCATAAAAGTGCATCTATCCATCATAAAAGTGCATCTATCCATCATAAAAGTGCATCTATCCTTTATAAAAGGGCATCTGTCTATCATAAAAGTGCATCTATCCATCATAAAAGTGCATCTATCCTTTATAAAAGTGCATCTGTCAATCATAAAAGTGCATCTATCCTTTATAAAAGGGCATCTGTCCATCATAAAAGTGCCATCTATCCTTTATAAAAGGGCATCTGTCCATCATAAAAGTGCATCTATCCATCATAAAAGTGCATCTGTCCTTTATAAAAGTGCATCAATCTTTTATAAAAGTGTATCTATCCTTTATAAAAGTGCATCTATCCATCATAAAAGTGCATCTGTCCATTATAAAAGTGCATCTATCTTTTATAAAAGTGCATCTATCCATCATAAAAGTGCATCTATCCATCATAAAAGTGCATCTATCCTTTATAAAAGTGCATCTGTCCATCATAAAAGTGCATCTGTCCATCATAAAAGTGCATCTGTCCTTTATAAAAGTGCATCTATCCTTTATAAAAGTGTATCTGTCCTTTATAAAAGTGCATCTATCCTTTATAAAAGGGCATCTGTCTATCATAAAAGTGCATCTATCCATCATAAAAGTGCATCTGTCCTTTATAAAAGTGCATCTATCCTTTATAAAAGGGCATCTGTCTATCATAAAAGTGCATCTATCCATCATAAAAGTGCATCTATCCTTTATAAAAGTGCATCTATCCATCATAAAAGTGCATCTATCCTTTATAAAAGGGCATCTGTCCATCATAAAAGTGCATCTATCCTTTATAAAAGTGCATCTATCCTTTATAAAAGTGCATCTGTCCATCATAAAAGTGCATCTATCCTTTATAAAAGTGCATCTGTCCATCATAAAAGTGCATCTGTCCATCATAAAAGTGCATCTGTCCTTTATAAAAGTGCATCTATCCTTTATAAAAGTGTATCTGTCCTTTATAAAAGTGCATCTATCCTTTATAAAAGGGCATCTGTCTATCATAAAGTGCATCTATCCATCATAAAAGTGCATCTGTCCTTTAAAAGTGCATCTATCCATCATAAAAGTGCATCTATCCATCATAAAAGTGCATCTATCCTTTATAAAAGTGCATCTGTCCATCATAAAAATGCATCTATCCATTGTAAAAGTGCATCTATCCTTTATAAAAGTGCCTCTGTCCATCATAAGTGCATCAATCCATCATACAAGTACATCTAGCATCATAAAATTGCTTCTGTCCATAATAAAAGGGTATCTATCTATCATAAAACTGCATCTATCATCATAAAATGCATGTATCCATCATAAGTGCATCTATCCTTTATAAAAGTGCATCTGTCCATCATAAAAGGGCATCTATCTATCATAAAAGTGCACTATCCCAAACTTTCAGAACTTTGAGATCTTAGTTACGTGACGTTTCATTTAAGTTTCAACTGTGATACAATATCAACTCTATGATCTAAGTATCAACATGTTTCTACTAGTTTCTCTCCATGAATATTATGAAGCTTTATATTGCTCAAGAAGTTGCTCTTTCATAACTTAAGAGACTTAAAAAAGTCCCAGTGAGAGTCTGTAAAATGAGTTTATATTGAGATCTCTGACATATATCGCAGCAAATCTCACTCTATTTACTCTCAATCTTATTATCAAAGCTCTATTAGTGTTTTCCTCAGGAGAAACATCTGAGACGTATGTTGAACTCTTCACTGTCTGGGAGGAATAACTGAGATCTTGTGTGTGTTTGGGAATCTAGAACAGACTGTTCTTTGGTTTATGAGAAATTATTTTGAGGAATTGTTTTGATATGATGTCATAAACAGGGAATGTTCCACATTGGTGACCTTTGTCTCAGTTTTGTTTGTTTTGTTTGCTGTAGTTTGGAGTGACAGAGATCAGACCGAACAGTTTAAGGTTTCGTTGTGTTTGGTGTCAGTGATCTTTGAGTCAGATCTCATGACTTTCTCATTTTTCACTGTGTTTGTGTCTGTTGTTGTGCGTTATTGGACAGTTGTGTTGTGTTATTTATGCATACAGTGCATTATTTGCTATTATACTCTTTTGTGCTTAGTGTTTTGAAATCATGATCTTTAGAAACCAGGAAGTGAAAGTGAACCACAGGAGCAATGATGTGTGTTTGTGTGTGTTTGTGTGTGTGAGTGATCTGGTCAAATTTGCAGATGACTGCATGTTAAAGATGCATATGCATGAGTGTGTGCGTGAATGAGTGTGAAAGAGTGTGTGTGTGTCTGTGTGAGAGAGTCTCAGTCTGAGTGAACTGATGATCTGCTGATGTATGCATGGTAAAGATGCATATGCATGAGTGTGTGCGTGTATGTCTGTGTGTGTGAGAGAGAGAGAGAGAGAGAGAGAGAGAGAGAGAGAGAGAGAGAGAGAGAAAGAGAGAGTCTCAGTCTGAGTGAACTGATGATCTGCTAATGTATGCATGTTAAAGATGAATATGCATGAGTGTTTAATAGGCATCTGTGGTTTGAGTCAGTCTGTGATTCTGTTCTATTTCTGTCATGTTTCAAATCCCTTCGATGTTATTGATTTTATTTTATTATGTTTGTGTGCATGCTTTACTGTAGTGTGTCAGTAGAAACTGCAGGTTCTGTGTGATTAATAATAACGTGTGTGTGTGTGTCAGGAGCCAGTGATGACGCCGTCAGCTGCTCAGTGATGTTGGAGGTTTTACACTCTCTGGCGAATATCTCGACTCCTCTCAAACACGGCGTGATCTTCCTGTTCAACGGGGCTGAGGAGAACATCCTGCAGGTCAGAGGTCACCACACACACACTCACACCCATCTTCCTGTTCAACAGAGCCGAGGCTGACCTTCTCTCTCTCTCTCTCACACACACACACATATACTCACATACAGTTCACATACAGAAACTGATTCTACATCTGCTGATACAGAATCAGTTTCATCTCCTCAGCATCTCAGATAGCTTGGAAACATGCAACAGAAACTTTTGACTCTCTTGTTTCCAGCACTTTAGACACTGTGGCTCTGTTGCACTTAAAGAAAATAGTCCAAATGCCGCGGTACAGCGAGCATACTCGGGCCCTTAAAGGGTTAGTTCACCCAAAAATGAAAATTAAGTCATTAATTACTCACCCCCATGCTGTACCAACCCCGTAAGACCTTCGTTCGTCTTCGGAACACAAATAAAGATATTTTTGATTGAATCTGAGAGCTGGATCAGTCCTACATAGACTGCCAAAGGGACTAGCACTAGACGGCCCATAAAGTCATTAAAGAAAATGTTTAAATATTCCATGTGCCTACAGTGGCTCAATTATAAGTTTATCAAGCGACGAGACTACTTTTTGTGTGAAAAAAACATAAATAACGACTTTATTCCACTATTCCATTACTTCCTTATGGGCGCATGCGATAGAACTGAGACGAGGACGTTCTCATTCGTCTACTTCTTGTTACCGGCTGCTCACCGCTTAGGAGTTTTACCGCCACCTACCGTATAAAATGATGATCCATATATAAGGCGCTCCGGATTATAAGGAACACTGTCGTTTTTTGAGAAGATTAAAGGCTTTTAAGTGCACCTTATAGTGCGGAAAATACGCAAATTGAAAAGCGTATGTACAGCGCGCATCTTCCTCTGCTTGTAAACAGAAAGTTTTGCGCTTCCAGCTATATCAGCACATCATCTTATACGGTAGGGGGCGATAAAACTCCTAAGCGGTGAGCAGCCGGTAACAAGAAGTAGACGAATGAGAACGTCCTCGTCTCAGTTCTCGCGCATACGCCCATAAGGAAGTAATGGAATAGTGGAATAAAGTCGTTATTTATGTTTTTTTCGCACAAAAAGTAGTCTCGACGCTTGATAAACTTATAGTTGAGCTGCTGTAGGCACATGGAATATTTAAACCTTTTCTTGAATGACTTTATGGGCCGTCAAGAGCCAGTCCCTTAAGCAGTCTATATAGGACTGATCTAGCTCTCAGATTCAATCAAAAATATCTTTATTTGTGTTCCGAAGATGAACGAAGGTCTTACAGGGTTGGAACAGCATGGGGGTGAGTAATTAATGACTTAATTTTCATTTTTGGGTGAACTAACCCTTTAAGAGAGCAGCCAGAAAAATGGAGCATAGCTGGAAGAAAACTAAACTAGAGGTATTTCGCATTTCATGGAAGGAGAGCTCGACTGCATACAGAGAGGCCTTAAAAACTGCTAGATCTGCTTATTTTTCAAATCTATTCGAAGAAAATAAACATAATCCTAGGTATTTATTTGAAACAGTGAATAAACTAATGAAAAATAAAGCTTCAACCCCAGAAGTTTCCAATCAACACAACAGTAACTTTATGAACTTCTAAACTTACAAGATCAGGGTTCCAGACTTCATATGCATTTGCGAACTTTTTTTGAGAATGTGTGAGTTAAAATTTTATGTGGTCTCACTTTTGCGAGTGGACGCTCGTTGTATCAGCTGCTGCAGTCCGTAACTTATGTTCAAAATGAACGAGTAGGCTACATCATGCATTCATTTTCCAAACCGTGTTTTTGACTTATCCTGAATCACTACAGTACGCCTATAATAAGTGTTTACATTCTGACTATTTTATCCCGGGGTCGACTCGGATGCGAAGTTGCCCAGTGCCTGCGTGACTCGCCATAGACATTAATGGAGAGAAGTGGCTCTGGCTAGAGTGTTCTTCCGCAAGACACGTGCAGTTTATTGATTGACGAACGTAGACGTCACACACATTGCACGCTGATGGTGGAACGCACCAATTACGAATTCACGGATTAAGGCATATAAAAATGAAAATGTTTTACAAAATAGCGTGCCCCTTTCTACATCTTTTCAGCGGTTAGATGAGGGTAATCGCTCGACTGAGGAAAAGGAAATTATTATAAAATGCAGAAGGTAAGGAGTGTGAGATTTCTGATTTTTGTTACAACTATAAACTTTGATAACGAAAAAACTGTATTAGGTTATTATAATACTCTAATCTTTTAAAATGTAATAGATAGATAGATAGATAGATAGATAGATAGATAGATAGATAGATAGATAGATAGATAGATAGATAGATAGATAGATAGATAGATAGATAGATAGATAGATGGATAGACGGATAGATAGATAGATGGATAGACGGATAGATGGATGGATGGATGGATGGATGGATGGATAGATAGATAGATAGATAGATAGACAGATAGATAGATAGATAGATAGATAGATAGATAGATAGATAGGATACAGTAAATTATGATTCAAATGTAAATTGATAGATTGTATATAATTCAAATGTAAAATCCTTAAAAGTACAGATTAAAATTACTGTCCAAAATCCATGAAAATCCTAAAATTTGGCAATGATAATTAATATATTACAGGTATTTATGCTGCAACCCAGAAAGCCTTTGCTAGCTTTGGTCCATTAAAACCACTATTCATCAGCATACATTGATTAATCCCATGGCATGTAGCAAAAAAAAAAAAGAAAAAGAAAAAGTGCGACCAAATCAAACGCTGGTGCGACCAACTGAGGAAGTTGGTAGCACCAGTTCAACCAGTGGAAAAGTTAGTCTGGAGCCCTGAAGATTGATAATATCATGGAGAAAATTATAACTATGCAACTGTCTACTACAGTATCGCATCAGGCAGTGTCTGCACACACACTCACACACACACATCCATGCATGTCAAGGTCGAGGTTGATGGTTGTTGACGTCTCTCTCTCTGTCTCAGGCGAGTCACGGCTTCATTACCCAGCATCCCTGGGCTCAGCAGGTGCGAGCGTTTGTGAACCTGGAGGCGGCAGGTGTGGGGGGGAAGGAGGTGGTGTTTCAGACAGGTAAACACTCCACACACACACACACACACACACATATACACACACCCGTGTCTGTCTCCACACCTGAGGAGAATCTGCACTGTTGCTAGGCAGAACAAGATTCACTTCATCATCCTGTGATCATTTACTGACACTCTAAACCAGCGGTTCTCAACTCATCTCAAGTTGATCTCGAGACGACAAAGCCACTCAGATTAAACTACCAACGATCAACTGAAAAAATAACATTTATTATTTTAATTCACCCCAAAATTCACAGTGTCTTCAAAAACTAGGATAATAAGGAAGCTTCTTTGCAAAAGTGTGATTCCTAGACGTGTAATATTTCTTAAAGTCTTAAAACGTTGCAGTTTTATAATGAATATGTTTTCAACCTCTAAGATATATTATCAGGTAGAATTTGCAAGTAACATTTTTTTTTTTCATAATTTTACAACTTTTCAGTAAATCAGGAATAACTGGATGAGTAATGTATATTCACTGGTTAAAGGGTAACTAAACCCCTGGTCAGAGCCTGACTCCACCCACTAGCAATATTTGAAAAATGCTGAAAAAATGGGCAGACCCCAGCGGGGCCAGGGGGCGTGCACCTGAGACCCGCCGTGAGTGACAGCTGCTGTCAGACTCTAAAATAGAGAGAGACTGGAGTGACGCAAGTAGCTGCCTTTGCAACAGAGCGGCCATTTGAAGTCGAGGACTTTTCTCCCTCACCTGAAGTGGATGAGGGTGAATTGTATGTAGACACAGGGCCAAATCCATTCGAGCCGCTGGCTCAAACTGCGGTCTTAACTCCCGCATCGCGACCGGCATCTGATGAGTTTTGTCATCGAGTTGATCTCAATAGCACACGCTCTGTGGGCATATATTCATATTGATATTCTGCCGCTATGTGAAAAAATCCAGCAAAATGCGCCGGCTCGTTTGTCGACCCCAGAGGATTAACTTTATCCTAACCATAAATTGTGATTAAAATATCCAGGAGTCCATGCAGGAGGAGCAGTGTTTGGAGCTGTGTGGAGAAGCCCATGTCCACCTCTATTCCGTTACTATCCTGATCACTGTACTAAACACTGATAAATCTATGCTAACTTGAAGCTATCCTAACTGTACTATGCTACTAGCTACACAAAATAATCTAAATTATCTATATAATGCTATGCTAAATAGATGCAACAATACTCTATCCTGATCGTTTTCAAAAATAATCTAAATAATCTAAATAACTATATAAATGCTATGCTAACTAGATGCTAATATAGGCTATGCTATCCTGATCGTTTTCAATACTCATAAATCCAACTCCTGACTCGCTACAGTAGTTTCGACGGAACCAGATGCTTTTATACCAGGGGCTGCCAAGGGTGTGGTGAGCTCGCACCAAGGGTGTGACAGAGTGCGTCTGAGAGTTCCCTACGTCAGAAAGTACCCCTACTGCAGGAGCTTTCCGTTTAACCTGAAGAGGGCAGCACTCAGACGTTTTTACACCATATATTTGAAAATCAAAACACTTTATACTCAATTGTCAAAAAATGTACTCAAATCAATGAACAGCATTTATGAAGCTCTATTCTTACAGATCATTAACTAAAAAAAGTTGTTTTGGTGTTTAGTTACCCTTTAACAAGACCGATAGAAGCTTGTTTCCACCAGAGAATAAAAAAATAAAAAAGGTAATTGCAAGCTTTTCATCTTATCTTTTTACAGTTTTTTTCCAATTGCTAACACACTAAAATGACATGCACAGCACAATTATTTAAACGGACACACAGAGAGCAAAACTTCTTCTCAATTTTCCAAAAGTCTAAACACATTTTCTGCTTTACACACATTTTGCATTTCAAAATGCCACTTTTTAAAGGCACTGAGCACAGTTCTCTGCATAAGACACAACAATCTGATATAAAGTCACATGTTTGCCATTTCAAAACACTACCATTCAAAATGACACTACATGAGCTGTGCCACCTGGCCAAACACCTCAGTGGTTAATTAATGGTTAACACTTCAATCAGGATGTAAGCACTATAAAACTATAAAAAATTATTTTTCTTGCCACTTTTTTTACTGTAATATATTTTCTGGAAGTTTCTTTTTCAGTTTACTGTTTTTTGTTAGAATGTTTTTTTCAGTCCCATGTAAATATTTCTGCTGTGCATATGTTGCACTGACTTGTTTACTGTAGTGAAAAATTACATTACTGTAAAATGAAGTTTCAACAGCATGTGTGTGTCTGCAAATATTTCTGTGCATGTGAACAATCTGATACATTTTTTAGTATTATGGCAAAGCATACTAAAGATAGGAGTGCTTTTCATTATGCCCAACAGTGTTTAAATGGAAAAAAAAAATGGAAAAAAAAACTGTAAACAACGTATTTAAGTTTATATCTTACAATTCTGACTTTTCCCCTTGCAATTCTGCATTTCTATCCCACAATTTTAAAGGAGCTAAACGCAAGTCTCTGAGTTTTTGCAGAACTACGCCCCCTCTGGCGACAAGCGAAACTGCAACCAGAGCTGTGCGCGTTCATGGAGGAACACACACACACACACATACATACGCACGTTTGCACGAGCTGTTCATAACCTAAGGAGCACACTGTGCGGCACACATCTTTTGTTACAGTCATAATGAGGTAATCCAGTAATAAATCTGCAAGTCATTTAAAATATATGAAAGGAAAGGCATTCGAGTAAATTACACACTTATGTGTGTGAGAGGGGGAAACGGGGATAGTAGAAAACTTCGTTTTTTGTTTCCATCTATCTCCCTGTGCTTACTGTATCCACTTATGATTGAATTATTATGGAAACACGTTCAGTTATCACTTTGTATAAGACCCGTTGAGCCCTAGAGCAGACCGGAGATCTCTCCGTTTGTTGAAAGCTTCCCGATGTCGACTCTCGTCTTATTCCGACGCCTGGCACTGGACAGACTGAAGTTTTATTTTCTGTCTCACGCGGAGTTTGCGTTGGGGTTTGTAATGAGCTACAAGCCGGTCTCTTTCCGCGCCATATACAGATTAAATGAAGTGCACGTCACCGAAAGCAACAGATATGAGCTGGATTTTATTTATCATCGGCTAATTTCGAAATCAGCAAAGACGGCAATAAGAGAGATCGGCAACAGGCCTGGTAAGATCAGTTCATTTCTTTACTTTTAATGAAGATGGTAGTGTTAAGCGTCTGCGACTTACTTTCACTTTGATTTGCGATAGATTGCGGCGCTGACTTGATGAAGGGGCTCAGCTCAGCTGCTCATCTGAGGTGATGCGCGTCGTCATATATGACTAAAATAACATGACATAACCTGTAGCTTGGTTTCAACAACCAGATGCATTTACACTTGTCCAGTTTCGTCTGGAATGCGGCCCAGACCACGTCCTCAAGTGGTTTGAGCGATGGGATTCAAATCCGTCTCGAATGCGTTTCGGAGGGCATTTATTAGGCTACACCCTTGTCTTTTCACGGTCGAATAGCTATCCGATCACAGAAAACGCATGAAGTGACCAGGTGTAAACAGCCCCTTTGAATCCATCGTCTACTTTTGTGGAAAGCTGACTAGAGTTGTGTCGCTCGAGTTGTCTTCTCTGATACGGAGAACGGCGGCGAATAGCTCCACGAATCTGCCATATAGCCGGGCGAGCGTGAACGCGCATGACGTCACGCCCAGTCTCAGATTCGAGCCCGAATCCCTCTTATATATTTCACTGTACAGGATTATAGAGGCGATCGCAGTGATCAAAGAAGGGCTCATTCAGCCCATCAGGCGATTGTTTAAGCATGTATGGGTTAGAAAACGGCTATTTTTAACATGAAAAGTTGCGCAATGCACCTTTAAGTAAAAAAAAGTCACAATTATATTTAAAAACAACAACAGCTTTTTTAAGTAGTAGTGCACACTCTATATAGTCTATATATTTACTCCACGGACATGTAAAACAACGAGAGATGGACCGCCGCTGAAGTCTTCTTAAATTACGTTGCTACTGTTACATTTAGTTCCCGGGGAACTGCCCTGGTGGATAGTTCCTATAACTGACTTCCTGTACTGAACTATAACTGTGTGAAAGTGAGAATCGCTGATCTAAACCCAGATGTGTCTGATTTATTCTGTGCAACACTAATGTCCATCAGATTGTTGATGTGTCTGTGTGTTTACATTCACTTCCATGATATGGAAGAGAGCTGTGTGTGTGTGTGTGTGTGATGGGTAGGTTTAGGTGTAGGGTTAGTGTGTGTGTGTGTGTGTGTGATGGGTAGGTTTAGGTGTAGGGTTAGTGTGTGTGTGTGTGTGTGTGTGATGGGTAGGTTTAGGTGTTGGGTTAGTGTGTGTGTGTGTGTGTGTGTGTGATGAGTAGGTTTAGGTGTTGGGTTAGTGTGTGTGTGTGTGTGTGTGTGTGTGATGGGTAGGTTTAGGTGTTGGGTTAGTGTGTGTGTGTGTGATGAATAGGTTTAGGTGTTGGGTTAGTGTGTGTGTGTGTTTGTGTGATGGGTAGGTTTAGGTGTTGGGTTAGTGTGTGTGTGTGTGTTTGTGTGATGGGTAGGTTTAGGTGTTGGGTTAGTGTGTGTGTGTGTGTGTGTGTGATGGGTACGTTTAGGTGTACGGTTAGTGTGTGTGTGTGTGTGTGTGTGATGGGTAGGTTTAGGTGTAGGGTTAGTGTGTGTGTGTGTGTGTGTGTGTGTGATGGGTAGGTTTAGGTGTTGGGTTAGTGTGTGTGTGTGTGTGTGTGTGTGTGTGTGTGTGTGTGTGTGTGATGAGTAGGTTTAGGTGTTGGGTTAGTGTGTGTGTGTGTGTGTGTGATGGGTAGGTTTAGGTGTTGGGTTAGTGTGTGTGTGTGATGAATAGGTTTAGGTGTTGGGTTAGTGTGTGTGTGTGTTTGTGTGATGGGTAGGTTTAGGTGTTGGGTTAGTGTGTGTGTGTGTGTGTGTGATGGGTACGTTTAGGTGTACGGTTAGTGTGTGTGTGTGTGTGTGTGTGTGATGGGTAGGTTTAGGTGTTGGGTTAGTGTGTGTGTGTGTGTGATGGGTAGGTTTAGGTGTACGGTTAGTGTGTGTGTGTGTGTGTGTGATGGGTAGGTTTAGGTGTATGGTTAGTGTGTGTGTGTGATGGGTCGGTTTAGGTGTTGGGTTAGGGTGTGTGTGTATGTAATGGGTAGGTTTAGGTGTTGGGTTAGTGTGTGTGTGTGATGGGTAGGTTTAGGTGTTGGGTTAGGGTGTGTGTGTATGTAATGGGTAGGTTTAGGTGTTGGGTTAGTGTGTGTGTGTGTGTGTGATGAGTAGATTTAGGGGTTGGGTTAGTGTGCCGGTGTGATAGGTAGGATTAGGGGTCTTGTTTGTGTGTATGTGTGTGATGGGTAGGTTTAGGGGTTGTGTGTGTGTGTGTGTGAAATGGGTAGGTTTAGGGGTTGGGTGTGTGTGTGTATGTGTGCGTGTGTTTGTGTGTGATGGGTAGGTTTAGGTGAATGGTTAGTGTGTGTGTGTGATGGGTAGGTTTAGGGGGTCGGGTGTGTGTGTGTGTGTGTGTGATGGGTAGGTTTAGGGGTTGTCTGTGTGTAATTGGTAGGTTTAGGGGTCGTGTGTGTGTGTGTGTGTGTGTGTGTGTGTGTGTGATGGGTAGGTTTAGGGGTTGTCTGTGTGTGATTGGTAGGTTTAGGGGTCGGGTGTGTGTGTAGCTCCATTTAAATAGCTAAGTAAACTTGTGTGTGTGACTGTGTGTGTGTGTGTGTGTCTCAGGTCCAGAGAACCCGTGGCTGGTGCAGGCGTATGTGCGAGCCGCTGTTCACCCGTTCGCCTCAGTCGTCGGTCAGGAGGTTTTCCAGAGCGGAGTCATTCCCTCAGACACAGACTTCCGCATCTACAGGGACTTCGGGAATATTCCTGGTGAGGGAAACACTAAAACATCTGTGAAAGTTCTGGTGAAACACACAGCAACTGTGGCTGACAACTTTACCAGACAACAACACTCTATTAACACATTTTACAGATGGAGGTACTGAGGAAATCAGGAGGATTTTCTGAGATCATGTTAAAGACTTCTTCTGTCTCCTGCAGGGATTGATCTTGCATTCATCGAGAACGGTTTCATCTATCACACCAAATATGACACTCCAGAGCGAATCCACATCGACTCCATCCAGAGAGCAGGTGAGACTCAGGATTCCTGATCCACAGGTTCATATCCGTGTGTTAGAGTATTAGTGTGAGAGAGAGTGTGAGAGTGCGAGAGAGAGAGAGAGTGTGAGATAGTGTGGTTGAGAGTGCGTGAGAGTGTGACAGAGTGTGTAAGTGTGTGATTGATTGTGAGAGTGTGTAAGTGTGTGATTGATTGTGAGGGTGTGTAAGTGTGTGTGATTGTGTGTGATCTGAGAGTGTGTTAAATCTGGTCTCTTACCCTGTACTGTAATGGTTGTCTTCGACTGTTGTATTATTTTTATTAAAACTGCAGAAGAACAATATGATGAAAGTAAAAACTAATGATAAGCAAAATGAATAATGCATTAGTATAGCCATAGGCCGATTATAACCAACAAGCAAACAGAAAGTTAATATACTGCAGAATTCTGGTGAAGTGAGTCACGTGTGTGTGTTTACTGAACTCTTAAAACCTCTTAAATCTTAAATCCAATCAGAACGCAGAGACTTCACACACACTAGAGCTCGTTCACACACACCAGAGCTCGTTCACACATGCGCAGTGTTCAACAACTACACTTTAATTCCCTCGACATACAGGTTGCCAATCAGATTGCTTGTTTTGCTCAAGATCAGGATTGAGTCACGTCATGCAGACATGAAACTGCTTCTAACCGCAGCTCAAGTTCTGTCGCTCTAACAAACAAGTGTGCGATGCTGTTTGCGAATGCTCGTTGGAACGATGGTTTCGGGAAACACGCACTCGTTGAACTGCTGATAACGACAGAACTCATTGTTAGCTAACAATGCTTTCTGGAAACACACCCCAGAGCGATTCGGAACAGATCGCTCTGATATTTAACGAAATGTAAAGATTTAATTATTTAAATTTAAATAGATTTAAATTTAAATGTTTTATATAGACAGACTGACAGATCACGTATTTGCATCAGTTGCTTTGAAAATCCTGTTTGTCTCTGTCACCAAGGCGACAACATCCTGTCGGTGCTCCAGCACCTGGTGATGTCGGACGAGCTGGCGGATTCCTCTGAGTATCGCCACGGTAACATGGTGTTCTTCGACCTGCTGGGATTGACGGTGGTGGCGTATCCCGCGCGCGTCGGCACCATCATCAACCTCATGGCGGCCGTCGCCACGGTGATCTACCTGGGCAGGAAGTGCATGATGACCAGTAGTGAGGGTACGTGATGGTCACATGACCAGACATCGGTCCGGCTCCAGTTGTGTTTGATTTCATGATATCACAGAAAAATGAAGAAATGGTATTAATAGGCTTTTTTAATAAAATAAAAATTGTGATCTGGCGTGTGTGTGTGTTCTCCCACAGGCGGGTGGTGCGGTGTGTGTAATCTGATGTGTGTGTGTGTTCTCCCACAGGCGGGTGGTGCGGTGTGTGTAATCTGATGTGTGTGTGTTCTCCCACGGGCTGGCCGTGTGGTGTGTGTAATCTGATGTGTGTGTGTTTGTTCTCCCACAGGTGGACGATACACACGTGATCTGGTGTGTGTGATCTTGTGTGTGTGAGTTTGTTCTCCCACAGGCGGGCGATATGCTCCTGGGCTGAAGTGTGCGGTGTGTGTGATCTGATGTGTGTGTTCTCCCACAGGCGGGCGATACACGCGTGATCTGGTGTGTGTGGCGCTCCTGGGCTGAAGTGTGCTGTTTGTGATCTGGTGTGTGTGTTCTCCCACAGGCGGACGATACATGCGTGATCTGGCGTGTGCGGTGTGTGTGGCGGTCCTGGGTTGGTTCGTGGCTCTTCTGTCGGTTCTGATCGTGGCTCTGCTCGTCACACTGACGGGTCGCTCCATGTTCTGGTACACACACTTCTACGCCGCTGTCTGTCTGTACGGATCCGTCGCCACCGGCAAGATCCTGCTGATACACACGCTGGCCAAGAACCTGTACTATGGGGTGAGTGAGGGGACAAGACACACACACACACACACACGAGTTCTCAAACATGAGCTCATCTGCTGACTGATGGAAGTCAGTGATGTCACACTTTGATGATGTCACTTTGTGAACCCAACGGATGTAAACCTAAACTAAATATTTTATGCCAAAGCAGTAGCTTTATTTAAACAAATACACTTTTTTTATGCAGAATAAGTAGCATTATTGAATAAATAGCATTTATTTATTTTGCCCAAAGTGGTAGAATTATTTAAAGGTGCCCTAGAATGTGAAATTGAATTTATGTTGGCATAGTTAAATAAAAAGAGTTCAGTACATGGACATGACATACAGTTGAGTCTCAAACACCATTTTTCTCGTTTTTGAAAAACACTTGAAAAACAGGCGAATCTCCACATAATACCGACTGTGACGCAACTGTATGTAAATATGTTAATATGTACGACTCCAAACATTTGCATATGCCAGCCCATGTTCAATGACAGGTGGAACTGTGCAGTCGAAGCATGGCATTTGATCGGATGTACACATGAGTACAAAAGTATTTTTTAGTTCCTTCATCCGAGCCTCTGAAGAAACAATGGGTTAATTTTATTTTCTCTGGATATTTCCAAACATTTCACCGACGACTGTTTCCTCAACTTGGGCCAAGAGCTGGCCTCGCATCGAGCTGATGTGTTGTTCAAGTTCAGACAGGTAACGTTAATCTTTCACTCAAGATCGTTCAATACTGTTTATGCATCAGTAAGTCAAGCCAGTGACTAAAATATGAACTTTACATCATTTCTTTTAGTAGGATGAAAAAAAAAACGTATTTAAATTCTGAATAAATTATATACAGAAAGCGATTAAAGAACGATTTTGCCGACACTTGCCAAACTCGTTATGAATTTAATGTCGCAGGTTACACTGCACAACAAAGCTCTTACTGTATTTACATGATCGTGTCTGCATTGGTGAAAGCATTAGAGAGAGCAGAAACTGCGTTGCAATGATAAGATCTTCATTCTCGCGATCGACAGACTTTCCTCTGCTGCCCAATGCTCATCACAGCAACATTTTATGTGATGGGAATAGATCTAAATACTTTAAAAACTTTTCACGATTCGTTAATCTCGATAGCTGTAATAGTAAAAACCTATAATAGCTGTAGTGAAATTATTTGAGAGAGTTTCACATGTAATACATAGCTATTTCATATGCAAGCATGTCAGCCAATCACAGCAGAGGCCGGACACACAGCAGACACGCCCCTTCAAACAGAGTGTTCAAAGTAGAGGCTAAAATCAGACTAGGAAAAATGCCTTTTATTACTAAATTATGACTATTTTTGATCTAGAAAACATACTAACATTATAAGGGCAATAATTTAAAAAAAACATTCTATGGCACCTTTAAATAAATACAGCACAGATTTATTTATTTATTTCATACCTGTTTTTAAATCAATAGTATTATTGAAATAAATATATAATTATTATTTTTAATTAATTATGTTATTATTTTTCATATATTTATTTAAATGTCAAATCAATAGTATTATCTAAACAAAAATATTTATTTATGTATTTTTTTAAATATCAAGTTAATAACATTATTTAAATAAATAAATAAATAAATAATAATGATAATTAATATTTTTTTAAATTGTCAAATCAGTGACATTATCTAAATAACTACAAATAATACATTATTTATTTCCTTAACTATTTTAATGACAAGTCAGTACCATTATTGAAAAAAAAAAAATTATAAATTAATATATATATATATATATATATATATATAAATAATCAATTTATTTATCTTTTCTTAATAAGTCATGTTTTCATTGATAAGTGATGACTGATATGCTTAAATTACTTTAAAAAAAAGTAATCAGTAGCAATTTTTTATTAATATTAATAATAATAATCTTTTTTTTAAATGTCAAGTCATTAGTTTTATTTAAATAAATAAAAATAGATTTTATTTATTTACTTAGCAAATACATTTATTTACTTATTTAAATACATATATATATAATTTCTATATACTTTTGTAATTATTAATTTCATGACTTTTTTTTTTTTGTACTTTATTTTACCAAGATAGTCCCATTGAGATAAAAATCTCTTCTTCCCAGGAGTCCTGGCCAAAATGGCAGCACAAATAGTTTCACATTTACAATATAACATACAATTATTGGTCAATAAGAGATTTTTAAATGAGAGTTTTTCTCATTATTATACGTGTTAACCGTGAGCTGGTGTAAACCGGAGCGCACTGAGGCAGCTCTACATGTTTCAGGACATCTGTTACTGAGTGTCCCGTTCTAGCGCCTCGAGTCAGGACATTACAGGTTTCTTATGGGTTTATGTTTGAGCTTGAGCTCTGTCAATGTCACCGAGGGTCTTACTAATGACTGATCACATGACGCGGTTACCCAGTTGGTTCACAGCTGCATCTAATCAACACTGTTTTTATTTTTCCAGTTTCTAGTTTTAAATGTCCAGTTCAGATGCTGTAACTCGGCACCGTTGCATTTAAGCCTTTTTAGTCCATTTAAACAGCTTGATGGGATTTAATTAAAGTACAAATATTCCATGTAGTCTCTCAGTTAAAATGAGCTCATCAAAATTGTAGTAATATATATATATATATATATATTATGAAAGTGTTTGTTTGTGCTGTTGTGGTTTTGCAATCTTATATTATTTGTCAATCATTAAAGCTGGTTGCTTGTGTTTGTAAAGTTCCACTTGAATTTCCCAGATTAGTTATTAGAATATATTCAGGTCACACAATATCAGCGGGTCATTTCTCCATTCTTCGTTTCTCTGAGGTTTGATGGATTTCTTATCACAAGTTTTATGTTTTTATTCTTCTTCTGCTCATCTTTTTGATCAACAATACTGTAAAAACAGTAAAATATTATTCCAGTGTAAATCATCTGTTTTCTAAGTGAATATATAGTAAAGTGTAATTTATTCCTGTGTTCAAAGCTAAATTTTCAGCATCATTACTCCAATCTTCAGAGTCACATGATCCTTCACAAATCACTCTAATATGAAGATTTGATGCTCATAAACATTTATGATTATTATCAATGTTTAAAATAATGGAAACTGTGATGCATTTTATTGTTCAGGATTCTTTATTAAATAGAAAGTTCATAAGAACAGCATTTATTTGAAATAGAAGCTTTACATTTGCCTCATATTCACCCATTCACTCACTCATTCTTACACACGACGGCGGTGTCAGCCATGCAAGGCTCCATCCAGCTCGTTGGGATTAGCTAGGGTTAGGTGTCTTGCTCATAGACACCTCGACTCTTGGTCAGGTCTCAAAATCTTCGTTGTTCTATGGATCTTTCATACATTTGCTGCCTCTAACCTAGAGACTGACATGAGTGTGTGTGATAAGAGCTGAAGTCAGATCAGATGAAGACTGGATGAACAGACTGATAAATATGTGTGTGTGTTTCAGCCTATCAGAGCGTCAGTCGAGGACAGTAACCTTTCACACACACACAAACACACACTGTGTTAAAGCGCATGTGGCTTGTGCTCAAATATTATTTTACACCCCTGTTCCACATGTACTATGTACTTAATATAGCAATGATGCTCAAACTAGGCGCGCTCAACTGCCAAGACGTTTTTTGGGTGCGAGTTATAAGTAAAGAAGAAGAACCGCACTCTCTAGTTAAATCTCATGAAGATTTATTCATTCACCATGTCCACACAGACGCGTTTCGGCCTAAGCCATCATCAGTGAGTGTCTTAATATAGCAATGACAATAACTGGGTAATGACTGTGTAATAACCCCTAAACTGAACCCTAACCCATATCAACTATCAGCTAAAATGAAACACTTCCTATCTGACGAAACACTGGAGACGGCTGTTCATGCGTTCATTACTCCCCGTTTAGACCATTTTTAAGTCTCTTTTAAAAACGTATTTGTTTTCTCTGGCATATTGATTTTATTATTATTATTAATATTATTTTTTAAATGTGTATATTATATTTGTGTGTATTAAAGTGTATATATTTCAGATCTGTATTTAGTTGTCCTGTACAGCACTTTGGTCAGTCTTGTGGCTGTTTTAAATGTGCTTTATAAATTAATTAAACTTAAACTTGCAACTTCATTTCTTGGCTTATGTACACTGTAAATACACAAACTGTAAAATATCTGCTTTAGTTGATCCTCGGCTGACGTCAGACTCCTGCTGCGCTCTGATTGGCTCTAACACAGTTAGTGTGTGTGATAGAGAGCCTAAGTCCCCCCCCTTCCGGTCGACCACCATGGGACCTTATTTTGGAAAGATATTGTAAAAATATTGCTAGTCAATGGCGAGAGACAACAAATATTTTGATCTTGTTTGATTTGTGCCCTGAATTACACATATGATGTTTGTCAATTTAAAAGATACATTTTATGATAAATTTTATTATAGGCACTGCAGTCCAATTCAAAATATATGAGATTGTGGTTTCTCCCGCCCCGCCTCCTCGGACTCGACACTCACATGTGGTCGCCAGTTTTATCTGCGTATTAGAATTGATCTCCGTCCACATAGAGTGCCGAAGTGATGACGTCACTTTGTAGGACAACCCGGAAGCATGGGTTCCCTCGGTCGAAAAGCAATGCATTTTCTCCATAGACTTTTGGAAAATCGCAAAAAATAAGATCTTTGTTTAACCCTTGTGCTGCATTAGATTTTTAACACCGTTGAGTGCATTAAGGACCAAAAATGGCCACATATTAAACATTGCCTAAAATATTATATAGTATTATTATTTTCCACTTTTACCAAGTTAAATCTTTTAACCAGCATCAGTCCTCATCATAACTACCAAAAATGTATTCAATTTCAGGATTTTAACCCTTTAATTACCAGTTTTGTTTGCGAAACCATCGATTTGTATAAGAGGAAAAAACACAAAAATTCAATTATTTTCAATAAACTAAATGCAAAGAGAAAACTTTAGATTTGGATTATCACAGTCCCACTTTGCAAAAAATCCCACTTAGCGCGTTAGAGACCAAAAATGGCCACCTATTAAACATTGCCTATTGCCTAAAATAAGGTGCATTTCCACCCATAGGGATTAAATATGTAGTGACGTCTGGTGGAATACACTATATAATGCAAATAAAATGCTTTTGCTTCAAAATGAAAGGATGTTTGTGCAAAAATCATGTTTCATGTATTACTGACAGCCTCAGATTTAAACAACGTTTTAATGGGTTTCAATGGGCCATTTTTGGTCTTTATGGTGCTGAGTGTTACTATTTGATCTACACAGTGTGTGTTATACATATTTAGCAAAATGGGATCACATTTTTTACATGTATCCAAAAAGTCACAATTTTGCCAAATTTCATACCATTTGCATTAAAACAGCCAAAATGGTCAAAGAAATTAAACTGCAAAAGACCAAAAATGTCCCTAATGCAGCATAAGGGTTAACAAAGGGTTGTGACCCTTACACGTTTTGTCTAGCAAGAGAATCTTTACAAGGTAATCCAAAATGTATACATTTTGAAGCCTACTGTATATAAAGATTTTAAAAAACACAATCAGACACAATAAAGTTTAAAAAACCACAAGCAGGTTATAAATGTGTGTTCTATGTCATAGATCAAAACGTGAAAATATTTAGAGGCTTTGTTCACCACAGACTTTATTTCAGGCGATTTAGCAAAAACCCATTCAAAAATCCCATAGACTTTAGAACGAGGGAACCGTATTGCTAAAATGCTAACTCACTTCCGCGTTTTAGCCTACAGAGTGACGTCGTAACTTCGGCACTCTATTAAAACGACTGAAAACGCGGATCACATGACCATTCTCTAACACTGGGCATGCGTGTGCCGGTGTAAACAGTGGTTGACGAATCAGGGAAGGACACGTCATGACTGATGACACCCAATCATAGAGCCGAGCGTGAGCCTCTGCGTCACCGTTTCTAAAGTCCTACGTTTTGTCCCGTCTTCACTAAAATGCCCTCCGGAGATTCAAAACGCGAAACGGAGCTGCAGCGTTTCTAAACTTCTCCGTTTTAGGTCTTCGTTTTTTTTCTGTTTTAGTCTGGACGGGAGGTGCAAACGTAGCAAAAGGTCTAAATGTTTCCTCAATACATGCAAACATATTATGGTATTTTTATGCTTTATTAGAGTTACACACAACACCTATAATCAAGAGACAGTGGAATATTCATACTTTTTTAAATGAGTTTGTAACAATCTTAAATGATCTTCATCTTTGTTACTTTCACTCATCTGTGGCTCATTATTCACGCTCCTTCAGTATGCCAGAGTTATATTTTAATGGATTAATGTGATTTCAACTTCTCAGAGACTTTTTTTTTTTAATTCAGTAAAATATTCATTAAAAAAAAGGTTATTATGGAACATACTTTTGGTAATAAATATGAACAGAACTCAAGTTCTCAGATCAGTGGATATTTGACTGGTTTTGACTGGATATATTCTCTCTCTCGCTTTTTGTGCTTGTGTTTCTCTGTGATGTGTGTCTGTCTCTCTCTGTGTTTGTCTGTCTGTCTCTCTCTCTCTCTCTCTCTCTCTCTCTCTCTCTCTCTCTCTCTCTCTCTCTCTGTGTCTCTGTGTGTGTTCAGAGCTCGAGTCGTGTGTATCTGTCTGAGCTGTTCTTCGACGTGAGTCTGGTGTTGTGGTGTTGTGCGCTGCTCTTCCTCACTCAGCGAGGGTTGTGTTCAGCGTACGTTCCCATGATGATGGTGGTGTTTCCACTCGCCAGCAAACTGATGCTCAGAAAACACTTCAGAGCCAGAGGTCAGAGGTCACACCACACACATGATTCTTCACATTATACCATTGAGATGAAGCTTATTTGGTGTATTTATTTCAGGCATTTTGTTTTACAGCTGTCATGGTTCCTTAAGGTATTAATCATATATTATGATATTTTTGTGATATTTTAAGTGTTATACAATACAACATTTTAAAACATTCATTCAGATCTGTAAATGAATAGTGTTTAGAAAAAAATATTTGCTATCACTATTATACAGAGTAAATATTTTTTATGTAATATTTCAGTAATTTGCTTTGGCGTAAGTACAATGTCAAAATAAAAGCTTAATTCTGTATTAAAAAAGATATATATATATTTAAATATATAATGCCTGTATGCAAATATATAATAGTATTTAAATTGCAACCCTATATTTGACTTTTATTTAGCCGTACCTTTAGGGAGTTTCAGGTCTCTGGTCAGCAGTAGTTTTAGCTCAGGATGGGGTCAATGGGCAGAAATCATGGCTCTGATGTTTAAATGAGGTTGACACATGGCTGTTGTGCTGATTAGTAGTATGTGTGTGTGTGTGTTTGTGCGTGCAGGAGCATCTCTGCAGTACTCTGTCCTGTACCTCGTGGGTCTCACTGTACCTTACGTCCACATCATGTTCCTCATCTGGGTGGTTTTTGAGATCTTCACACCAATCCTGGGCCGCAGCGGAACCGAAATACCACCGGATGTCATCCTGGCGTCAATTGTTACCCTGGCAACCGTGATTCTGTCTTCCTATTTTGTGAGTCAAACAGACTAACTGTAACATAGTAAATTCAAATTGAAACATTTATAATCAAACAGTCAAATTCAAGCATTCAAGCCTTTAAATTCAAACATTCAAGCAATAAAATTCAAACATTTCAATTCAAATATTCAACCATTTAAATTCAAACATTCAAGCAAAACAATTCAAACATTTCAATTCAAACATTCAAATTCAAACATTCAAGACGTTAAATTGAAACATTTAAATGCAAACATTCAAATTCAAAAATTCAAATTCAAACATGCAAAATGAACCATTCTAAATCAAACATTCAAACAGTCAAATTCAAATATGTACATTTAAACATTCTAATTCCAATTAAAATTCTTAATTCAACATAAAACAAACCGAGATTAATTCCACCATATGTGTCCTTACACCTGTCTCTCTCTCTCTATAATGAGGCTCTGTGTGTGCATGATGATCAATTGGTCTTGAGTTTTTCAAAGTTTTTTAATTTCAATTGCCTTTCTATGTTTTTGGGATATGATGTTTAAATTAGGAATGTAAAAAATGTGTAAAAAATAAAGTGTATCTAAAACTCTCTTTCTCTCTCCAGATGCATTTCATCTATCTGTCGCACAGCACGAAGCGGATGCTGGCTGGTCTGGGGTCAGTGTTCACGCTGATGTTTGTTCTGGTCTGCTGTGGTCTGTTCTTCCCATACTCTGGTGACCCATCCAGTCCTCGACCCAAACGAGTCTTTGTGCAGGTATCGTCATCTCTGATCCGTTATTAGAGTTTACTGAAACTCAAACCATGAAATATTGTCCTGACTTGAAATAAAATAAACATTACCTGAGAAGTTAAAGTTTTATATATGCATGCATGCATGTATGTATGTATGTATGTATGTATATATGTGTGTGTATATATTCATTTTATTTTAGCTTGATGAGGGGAAACTCATTACAGGTAACTTGAGTTACGTAATCCCGCTTGAATTAAACCGATAAGCAAAAATGACTATAGTTTTTTTTTTTTTTTTTGGTTAAGCCCTTGAGCAGTGCCCTGTACTGTACTCTGTTTTACTGTACTCTACTTTACTGTGCTGTACTCTACTCTGCTCTACTTTACTGTATTCTACTCTACTTTACTGTACTCTACTGTACTCTACTTTACTGCACTCTACTCTACTGTACTTGGTTTTCTTGTTCTGTAATCAATTTTACTTTTCTGTACTCTACTCTTCTTCGCTGTATTTTACTGTACGCCACTGTACTGTACTCTACGGTACTATATTGTACTCTACTCTTCTCTACTGTACTCCACTCTACTTTACTGTACTCTACTCTACTGTACTTTACTATTCTGTGTTATACTCTACTTTACTGTACTATACTCTACCTCTTCTCTACTGTACTTCACTCTACTTTACTATACTGTACTATACTCTATTGTATTGTACTCTATTCTATTTTACTGTACTATACTGTACTTTACTATTCTGTGTTATACTCTACTTTACTGTACTATACTATACTCTATTGTATTGTACTCTATTCTATTTTACTGCACTATACTGTACTCTACTCTTCTCTACTGTACTTCACTCTACTTTACTGTACTATACTGTACTTTACAGTACTCTACTGTAATATACTGCACTATATTGTACTCTACTATACTTCACTGTACTCTACTTTACTGCACTCTACTGTACTCTACTGTGCTGTTCTCTACTGTACTCCGCTGTACTTTACTCTACTCTTCTTCGCTGTACTTTACTGTACGGTACTCTACGGTACTATATTGTACTCTACTATACTGTACTTTACTGTACGGTACTCTACTGTACACAAGTGAATCTGCATTTTTTTTGAGCCTGAGAATTAGGTGTTTACATTTGCCTAAAAATATAATTGTAATGTAATTACTTTACAACTTTCCCCAACACTGGTTCTGTTTGTTTGTGTGTTTTCAGCACACCACACGCAGGTTCCACGCACTGGACGGGTCTCTGCAGAGCTCTGACTCGGGATTATGGGTCAACAGTCTGGATTACAACGGGATGCAGCACATCACTCCTCATATCCCAGAGATCAACGACAGCATCCGCACACAATGCCAGGACAAGATGCCCTACTGCGGATTCCCATGGTTCCTCCCGGTCAAGTTCCTGGTCAAGTGAGTGAAGCTCAGAGGATCGGATGATGTGCGGCTTCAGCCTTAAACCCATAAAAAACCCTGTAAAAAAATATGTGTGTAGTGTCCGTGACGAGGTTCTGAAGAGCAGAAGTTTTGAAGCCCAAAGTGGACGAAGCTGGCCGTCGCCATCTTGGCAGCACGTCACTCCCGGATAACAGAAAAATCACATTTAGGACCATAATTCGTGGTGAAAAACTACATTACCCTAGCCTGGTGGACACAGACCCTTCTCAGTCGAAACTGTGGGTCTGGGGAAGCTTCATTCACAGCCCATTCCCAAAGGGGCATCACCAACAGGCGTCAATTGGATAGACCTAAAACCAAGGGGGTAATCCATTAGCTGGAAATTGTAGCCTCGCAGGAGCCGCCATTGTAGCAGAACTTCACCTGCTGTTAGCATTCCAAGAAACACACCAATGTATAAAAGGCTCCATTACCTTGTATCTTACTTTATGGCCCCGTAGAAGCTAACGATTGCGTCATAACGAATCGACTCTTCGTCGCACAGTAGAGAAATTACCGTATAGACAGGAGGAGAAACTCGCAGGCAATCGGGGGTACGTGGAGGCATAAAGTCAAGGGAGAAGCCCTTAGAGAGTCATAAAGTTGATCTTGCTGCTAGCTCATGGACAGCTAATACTCACTCTCTCCGTCTCTGTGATATTCGGAAGGGAATTATTCCGATTTAACTTGGCACAGCTACTAGAAGACACACAGGTTGCTCACGTGACAGGCTCAGTTTGAGGTTGTGCAGTATGTCTGGCGATTAGCTTTTAACGGGCTTCAATTTTCTCCGTTGAAATCAATGGGGTCGCTCTGTCCATTTCTTTTACAGTCTATGCCTAAAACCAATCAGAGCGATCGTGTAAAGCCCGCCTGAACGTTTTGATTGGTGCCTCGATTTGGAAAAATTGGAAATGGGCTGGAATAGGCTCTTGGCCAGAAGTTCCGAAGTTCGTCTAGGTTTTCCAAGCCTAGTGATTCTAATGTTTTCCAAGCCCAACCCATGATTCTGCAGAGAAATCTCCACTAATCAGAGAATCATGATAAGCAAACTACACCAAAAGAGCTCCGCCCACTTCAGTGAAGCACTACGAATAACGTAATAGTCTGGAATATTTTTAGCCCTCCATTTTGGCAAGTGGGGCATAAATGATATATCCAAAATAAAAGCTCATTAGTTATTGTGAATATACACAACCAACATATATATATATATATATATATAGGATGTATATATGTATGTATGTATATATATATATATATGAAAGTCAACGCATGAGAGTTTACAGTTTAGGACAGTTCAGGATTACTCAGACTGTTTTTAGGTAATAATCTCAAACATTAAAACAAAACAAAAATATATTCAGGGTTCATTTCAAATCTGAAGTTTTTGACGTCAACCATAGTGTTTCTGAAGAGCGTTTTTGAAGCCCAAAGTGGGTGGAGCCGGCCATCGCCATCTTAGTCACTCCCGGATTGTCACTAAGCGTCACTCGCAGATAACCGTGAGGGGGTGGTGATGGCGCAGTGCATAAGACACATGCCTTTGGTGTGAGAGAGACCCGGGTTCGAATCCACTGTGAGACACCAATGTGTCCCTGAGCAAGACACTTAACCCCTAGTTGCTCCAGAGGCATGCGACCTATGACATAAATAGCAATTGTAAGTCGCTTTGGATAAAAGCATCAGCTAAATTAATAAATGTAAAAATAACCGGAAATATGCGGTAATGACATTAGCGGCAATCCACCTGTCACCCTTAATTATGCAGAACTTTAAAGGCTTAATATAATTTCAACAGATGAGTTATAAAAACATTCATCCTTCTCACAGTTTTCGTGATGGACAAAATTATCTATATAGACCAAAACCACTTTTTGCTCCAGACTGTAAACATGTTTATTTCTGCTGTAAAGTTGGTCATTTTAACATGCGGGTCTATGGGATTGACTCTAGTGGCCAGTGGAGAAACTGCAGTTTACGCCACCTC